ATACTTGAAATTATCTGACTTAGCTCTAAAAACCCAAGCTGGAGTCCCAGGATACCTGAGAGCCACTAAAAACAGGTTTGGAAAAGTCAGAAAGTAGGTTTTACCTTCTCTCCTCTCATAAGTCTTTTTCTTTTGCTTATTCTTTTTCTCTTCTTTTTAGAACCCTTGTAAAATTCCAATACTCTGAAATGCCTCTGATATCAAGATGGTTCACCCAGCATCTGCTGAGGTGATGTTGTCCATTCCCCTCACTCTAGGAGGCAGACATTAGGTGGACAGAGTAATTCAGTTACAGATAATTGGATAATTGTGAAACAATTCCTGCAGCTGGGTTTATTTCCTTGTCTCAAGACAAGGTCTTGAAGTAGAGGAAGATGAAGAGGATTGGGTGGCTTCACTTCATCTGAGGGTGCCTTCACTTGAGTGCTGTAAGATTTGAGTTCAGCTGGTCTGGTACTTGCTGCACCTGCAATAAGAACTGGTACTTTTTGATATTTGTAAAATATATTCTCCTTGTACTCCTTCTGCTGAAGTGTTCCTGGCAACAAGTACCTCAGTGTCACGGCCTGCCAACAATGTGTGTTGAATCAAATGCAACTGTTAAGAGTTAAGATCATACAAAAGCATCCTGAATCCTTCCAGTAGACTAATTTCTTCTGCTCTAATAAAAATTAAATAAAAATAATTAAAAATGCCTTGGCATTTTCCCCAAAGTGCATGGTATTTTGCCCTTCAATTTTTTATCACAGGACATGGCAGACACCTGTACATTGATTTGTTGGGCAGGGAGAACAGCCCAAATGCAGAATTACCATTTGTTCTCTTCAACGAAATCAGAATTTGACAAGAATAAGTTGTTTTTCAGACCTTATTAACTTAATAAATGCTGTCACCATGTTAATAAACACTTTCTTGCTCTCAGACATGTCCCTCAGTATTCCTTTTAGCCCACCATTAACCCTTCCAAAGCAACAAACAGCATTTGGAGAATTCCCCCCTGCCCTGGGACCAGGCTCCAGCAGTGACCCCCGTGACTCCTCCATTTCTGGGGTAACCAGTGGTGGCCCTGGCACAGTCACACTCTGGCTCTGGAGGCAGCTGCTCCCAAAGTCCCCCTGGCAAAGGTCAGGAAAGCTGCCAGAGCCCCGAGGTTTGACCGAAACCCCCAGGGATGGGGTTAAGCCATTGCAATATCACTCTAATCAAGCAAATGGGAGCTCCTTTTCATCAACAGTTAATCACAGGACTTCACTTGTCTCTAAGTTCCTGCAGTTGCCTTGACAGATGAGAGCACAATAATATAAATAAGAAATGACAGTTTACCAAAGAAGGTTAACATAAGGTCAGGACCTTTTTCTACTTGACTTCTGCAGCTTATTCATGTGTGAAAACACGCTTTTGTAGCTGTAGCCTCAGCATCCCTTACAGAACTGGACTTGTGCCAACAACTGAGCTTTAAAATTACCATTTAAAATACCATTTTAAATGGTATTTATGTTCAGAAAATACCATTTCTGCATTTTGCGATGCTCGAGTTGAACTGCTTCGCATCAGAATAAAACATGAAATGAGGATATCTTTGCATTTCACAGCCTGTCTCACTGACAGTGGTGCCTCTGCTGCATAAACAAGGTATTGGGCACAGACCCATTCCCTCTCCCTTCCTCAGGCCAGGTCACACCTTTCTGATCAAACCCACCCACGGCCCCTGCCTAGGCTGCCCCAGGAACAGCACACAGATGAGCAGGACACAGCATCAGCCTGACAGTCCTACACTGGTAAATGTCAAATATTAATTTGTCACATTATTTGTGCAGTGATTTGAAGCCAAATCCTGTCTCATCATTCATTTCCATCAGGCACACGATGAGAGGGAGGGAAGCAGGAGCTTTCTGTCACAATCTGAAATGCCTGCGCCAGGAGCTGCCAGGAAATATTTCTCTGTCAGAGAAGCAAACTGAAGTTCTGAGCATGAAGGCTGGAGAGTGAAAGCTGCAGTACAACATGGAGATAATTAGCTTTGAAAGGCTAATCAGGTCACTGCTCTGGCTGGCATTTCTATGGAGATGCACAGGCCTCCAGCTCACCACATCTTGCCTCTCCATACGAGTATCCCTCATCAAAGTGAAGAAAGACCTTACAAACTACATAACCCTGAATGACATATCCTGCCTAAAGAATCCCCAAATAGCCAGAAAAGATCCCTACAAATAGCCAGGAAATATCCCTACAGCCCTCGGAATGAGGATAGACCCCACAGCATGGATCTGTGCTGCCCAATCCCCTTCCCCATATGGGTCCAACCAGCCACAGAACCACTCAAGAAGGAGGTTTAATCAAAGCTGAAGGCAATAACTATTTTAAGATTATCCCACCTATTTTATGCTGATTTCTTGTGCATATTCATGGAGCCTTGTGTCTTGCACATATCTTTGACACTCTAGAAGGTGGAGATGTTGAGCATTGTCAGCTCGCTCAAGCTGTGAAATTAGGCCTCGAGTCTCCAAAAAAAATTGCTCACAAACCCCCAGCAATGCTTGATCAAAACAGCAGTGCTCTTCAGTACATTGTTGGTTAGTGAATTTTTATCCACTTTCCCTTCCTTAGCATTAAACAGCTACAAATGGCTAAAAAAATTTTTTTTAAAACCCAACAGTTCTTTCCTTTTGTCTTTTCCTTTTGTCAGAAGGATGCTCTATTTTGTTTCTGAAAAACACGATCAATCTTTCCAGTAATAATGACTCGCTGAATAAGATCTGTGCTACTTCCATGCTGCTTTTCTAACAATACACCTTATTTGTACCTTGGCTTATAAAAAACCCATACACTGATCGATCATTGCAGGCACCAGTGAAATAAAACCAACCACGAGGCAAATAATGGCAGCAGAACAATAGTGCACATCTATTTAATGCCTGAGTTTAGACTAAGGGGTAACATAAAGCACAATGATGCTATAAAGGCAGAGAGAATGGAACAACCCAGAACAACAGTAAACTTGATTCCTCCAAAACCACTGGTTAACCTGAATGAGGAGCTGTTTCACTCCTGTCTGCAAAAATGACTCCTCTGAGCAATGCAGAGGCACTAATAAAACCCCAGATCATGCTGTGGAAGACCTTCCAGCAGCACTCAGTTTTGTCTGAGAGCTCACTTTCCCCTCACATAGTAACCAACCACTGAGTCACTCATACTGTAACACCTGATGGCCAGAAGCTGGCTGAAGCTGGCCTCCTTGCAGGTCAGTACAGCCAAATTCTGTCACTGTCACCTCTGCAAAAGTTCAGGTGTATTTAGTGACACCACCACACTCATTCTGTTTTATGACTTGAGCGCTTACAGTTCATTGTGTTTTTCCAATTTCAACCAAAGATTTCAAAAAAATGGCCTCAAAACAGCTAACAATATATTCCCCTGCAATTCCTGGTCAGATAGAATATAGTACAAAAGTGAAATACCTTAAGCTCTGTTTGAGTTTTTAAAGACTGTCCAAATCTTGAATTTAAAGTGCATTGTAAGAACTGAATTGTGCAGAAGGAACACTAATTTGACAAACTCATTAAAATAAGACTAGTCTAAAGGAAAAATTACTCTTGCATGCTAAGGATTGTGATGAATAGGACTCCTGCTTTCAAAAACCTTGGGGTGTGGTGAACTTTTATGCACTGAAAGCAGTAAGTAGTCATCAAAATACAGACCTGAGCACTGGCCCATGGGCACATTGCCAGTCAGTCCCCCAAATGGGCAAGAGAGGTGAAGTAGCAGGGATCTGTGAATTATAAATTATATTCCTGGGCTGAGCTCTCCAAAGGCCAAAATGAAAACATGGAAGATCATAATGAAATACTTCAATCAAAATAACATAACCATCTACAGCTTATTTTCACTATCAAGGTGGATCTCAACTGACAGGCTGCCATAGAAAATAATTCCATTGTCTTTTAGTGAAAAAAGGAGTGCAGCCAAATAAATATAAAGTAAGGATAAATCATATGACCACAGACAAGAAATATAGTGCTTTATCCAAACCTTAAAAAGGAGTTGGACAATGGGAAAATGGAATCTTGGAAGAAGGGGATTTGTGAGACCCTGTGCAATGGGAAAAGCCAGAGAACACAGTTTCTTGTGAGAAGATGATAATACAGTTCATGAAAAGCTGCCCTGAGATTAAAAAGTATCATCACTGATGCATTTACTGCAGCACTGAAATGCAGGGGAGGTGCAATCCAGGCCCACAGCAGAGCACACCAGATGATGTGGCAGCACATCCCTGTTACCTGTATCAGGGGAGAGCTCAGGAAGAAGGAATTGCTCTGGCCTGGAGTACAGCACACCTTGGATACCTCACACTTGCCCTTCTGCAGCACCTGACATTGCACAAAATGTAGTGACTGTAGGTCAGCACATCATCTGGGCTTGTTTACACCCACTCTGCTTGCCAGTGAGCCTTTAGGAAGTCTGACCATAATTCATTATATGTTCTAACATAAGTTTTTTGCATAAGAACGAATTTTACCCTACAATGCACTAACTAGACTTAAATTTCCCTTAGGAAAAAGACAAATGGGTTTACATAGCATGTGGTTTTAAATCCTTTTTTTTTCAGTTAATCTCTAGCTGTGGAATTGTGATTGAAATATGAAAATGTATGTGTATTTTCTGATAAGAACCATTTTTGCTTAAGAGACAGATGAAATATTATCAAGCGTATACACTTTCTTCAAGTTTTTCAACTGATGACGGAAATCCCATAATCAGAACATGGCACAGCCAATCCAGGTTAAGTGATAACATTTTTTTTCAACAAAATAAAACAAAACCCCAACCCTTTGAAGTGTTCTTACAGTTACATCTTCATAATCCAGACATGAGAAGATCTGCGCTCTCGACAACTCTGAGCCCACGCTCTTCAGCTGGCTCCACATAAAAGCCAGCATTTCCTTCTCCTTGCTAAGTCTGCTGATTCCTTAATAGCAGTGAGACATGGCACAAAGCATTACCTGCACAGGATTTTCCATCTTCCCCCAGCTTCTGGCCAGCTGGACACTTGCAGTGGTAGCTGCCGATGGTGTTGCAGCAGCGGTCGTGGCAGCCGCCGTTGTCTGTGGTGCACTCATTGACATCTGCCAGGAGAAAGCACAAGCAACCAGTGAAGAGTGGGCACTGAACACAGTCCCTGAAGATCTGAGGACAGTTGTGTCTGGCTGATGTGAAAAAATGAGAAAGTTTCTGAGATAACCAGCTCGGGACCCTGAAGCAACATCAGGAGCAGCAACTCCCAGCTACGCTGGTGAGCCCCTCCACTCAGCCAGGCTGTGCCAGGGGAGGTTTAGATTGGGTACCACAAAACCTCTGAAAGATGGTAGGATTTTAAATCAGTTATGGTCCTGCTTTCTGTCAGGTGCTGTTTTCTACACACCGGACTTATTCTTGCCACCACCTTGCAAGCTGGTGTTTTCCTGCGTGCAAAATAGAACTTTACACGTTACAAATGAAGAACATTAAAGGACTAAATGAAAAAAATAAGTAAGCAAATAGACAGCCAGTGTCAGAGAAAAAAAAAAATCAATAGCAAAGACATTCACTTACATACCTACTTTAATACCCTACATAAGAAATTTCAAAGAAATATGATAGAAACCACCAGGACAACAGCACTGCTCTGCTGAACAGGAGCAGAGACAAACAGAATGGAGGTGATTGACACTGGGAGGGAGCTCACACTGCTCTCAGGTGAGACAGCAGGAAAGCCAAGAGAAGGAGGATTAAGCAGCAGAAGATAAGCATCATCATGACTGTAAAAACCATAGGCAGTTACTTCATATTAGTGGCACTCCTCATCCCCAAGGGAGAAATTAGGCTTTAAAAAAAACTATTTAATTAGTTTGTAAAGAAAAATCATTAAAAAAAGAATTTCACATTCATGCAAGAGAGGTGAGAGCCTTTCAACTGCAACCCTTCGGTGTTAAAGACTAAGATTTACCAAGGTTTGTTAGTCCTTTGATGAGCTCAGGCTTCACTTGACTGGTTCATTTCTGATCCTGGCTAAAAGCCACAGGTTAAAAGAAATTTTTGAGGAGGTTTCAGACTATTAAAAAGCTAAAAGAAAAGTGTATCACGAAACACCAACTTTTAGCTGAAGAGGCACAAACCCACTAAAACCACCTCATTTCTCTACAGCTTTAGATTCAACGCAATGACCAACAAAATGATAATTTCTTTGTCCTCAGTGATACTGGAAAACACTGGCAGGCTATAAAGAAATAAAACAAAATTCAGTTGCCCCAGAGCTACACAACAAACCAAATCCTAACTCGCGTGAAGCCATCGAGGCTCTTCTCGATTTCACGGGAACGCGATTTAAACAGAAACTTTTCCCGGAGAAAAACACTCCCCCCACCTCCTCCCCTCCAAAAACAAACTGCACCAAAATAACAACGTGCGTCTGCTCGCTTCTCCTCAGCAAGAGATGGGGAGAACATATGACAGGAGGCAGATTTTGGACGTGTTCCTCCGAGCTCTGGGAGGAGGCACGCGAGCGCTCGGCGCTGCGCGGGGAGCGAGCGGCGCGCGGCCCCTTCCGAGGGATTTACTCGACGTGCCTCGTGGTGATAAACAGCAACGAGCCACAAAGCAACCCAGCTCCACAGCTTCGACTTCTATTTATACTAACAGGATTGAAAGCTAATACAATCTCCTTGCTATTTTTTTTTTTAAACAAAATTAATGGAAGAACTGGTTTATTCTTTAGAAGCCACAATGGTACGTGACCTCCTGGCGTAAAATATTGACTGGGTGAGGTGGTCTAGGATACACAGCCTGATTTATTAACACCAGTGTCTATATTTTGAACCAAATTATTGAAAAAAAATCTTTCTACCTGAGGAGCTCATCATTATCCCCTTGATTTCACCAGGGTATAATCCATTCGGAAGTGTATAGTGCTGTTGCATGCTAATATATAGGAAGTTTCTCCTTTGATTGCAGACTGTTCCTGTTAGCAATTAAAAATCTTTTCCTTCCTTCTTCAGCATAAAATGCTGTGGGGTCCAGCTATTGGTGCTGCACGACTGAAAACCTCATTTTCTCCTTCTTCTAACCCTACCTTCTTAATGCTCTGTCCAGGATTTCCCTGTCTCTGCCTTAATATTTGTTTTCATCTTTAGAGGAATTATTTTCATGCATTTCTTTTCTTCTTTTTACACCAGAAACCCAACACTCTTCTTTTATACTCACAAACCCTGACCTTCCATCTCCATGTGCCTTTAAAACAAACATCATCATTCATAAAATAAACTATGATTTAATCTCTGAGTTAAGACACCAAAAAAACCTTTTTCATACAGCTTTATTACAGAGCAATCACATTTGAAGGAATACACTGAGTAGGAATAAATCTTACCAGTTTTAGCCCTAATACTATGAAAATTTGCTCTCTAAGCGTCTGCATCTTTTGCTGTCCTGTCTCCTGCTCAAGACCTTCCCCACTGCCTGCTCCCTGCCAAGCTGTTTTCTGCAACTCCATAATAAAGGTCAGATGTTGCCTTAGTCCAAAGAAGCACAAAAATAAATGATCTGAATGTGAAGTAATAAAGAATGTGTTTTACATTTGTAAAAGACTGGCTCATAGAGCTTTTACAAGCCACAATCAGCTGTTCCATACTCCTAAAAGAGAGTAGTCAGGATTTTAAAATCTGATTACAACTTTGCCACTGAAAAAAAAGGGAAAGTTAAAATAAACTTAACAAAAACAATTCTGTCAAATGATAAATTTCTGTCTGCTTTCCATATTCAGTGTCACTCAAGGTCACAAATATATTTTGCTTTTGAATAGTGAGCAAAATGACAGAAAATTTCTGACATGTAACAAGTCTGCCACGTTAGGTCTGACAAAAGTTCAATGTTATCAAGCCTATCAATCCATCTGTAATGACATGCTGTAGGCACTTAAAAAAAAAAAAAACTCCAAAAAACAAATGTGATGTTTGCTACAGCAATGTTTCACATTTATTTATAGAGCCAATGTTGCAACACAAAAACATTATCCATGGGACATACTGGATGTGAGCCTTCAATCTTGCCTTGGGAAAAATAATTGAAAACACCTTGCATCTAGATTAACTTGATATTAACTTTATATATGATCTGTCTAGCATATATGTGTGGGGGAAAAAAATGCACAATATATTTTAAATCCAGTAGTATGTTAAAATATGGATTGTTGACATGTGCCCATGTCCCACACTCCCTGCACTCGTGGTATGATAGACAGAACTATGTGAAAAGGTGTATTTTCCCAAAAATCTCATAAAATACTTGATATGGAAGGGAACATCCCCTTTTTTTTTCATGAAGCAGACCATCTTTGCCCAATTAACCCTGCCTAGGAGCTATGTGCTAAATGTAGAAGGACAATTCCAATCCCTTCACTTCTCTATTCTTGTTAATGCTATTCCATCTGAAAATGTCACACCCCCTCAGCTACAGGGAAAACAGCCCTTCACCAAGTTTTTATGAAAATATAGGTGATTTCAGATTTCCTACAAATAAATGAAGGCTTTATGTAAAAGCAGACACTGGACAAAGTGGTTTTCATTGGTAATTCCAGCTTGAAACCCAACAACAGTGACCTGCTCTATCAGTAGCTCTCAAAAGTAGAAAGCAGATAAAGAAAAATCAGTGTGAAAAGCAGAAATAGGTGTTGGCATTGGGGCAGAAGTCTCTTCTCCACTGAGCTGCTGGTGAGGGCTGCAGCTCTGCAGGGTCTGCACCTGGAGCCCAATTCAGCATCTTGAAAATCCAGTGAGGGATTAATCCCACCCTGAGCACAGGACTGGCCAAAGCTGGGCAAGGAGAAAGCACCTGCAATGAGCAGGGGCTCAGCTCTGCAGCAGGAAAACCACAAAGTGAAAGACCACCTAATTTTGGCAAGTTTGTATGCTTAGATCAGTGGAACACAGCAGTTAAGTCGCTGCCTACAGCTTAAGGTATTTTTATTTTCCCCATACGACAAGTTTAATGCCATATTCGTTAATATAAAGACTAATTTTTAAAAGAACAAAAGGAATCTCATAACTGCCACGCCGTATTTAAAACCCATTTCCCAAGGTTTCTGTATTTATCAGCTGTATATGAGCAATATCTTTATTCATTTAAGGCAGCCACATGCAAATTTGCCATGTGGGTGCCCAGTTTTGGGGCTAACCCGTGCTCTGACCCGTGAGCCACTGACTCCAGCACGTGTCAGAGCTCCCTGGACTTGAAATAAATCACTGAAGTGGAATAAAATCTGTAAAATCATTGCCATTGTTACTGCAATCCTGCCTGAACAAAGCCCACCAGCACGGAGCGAGGAGGTGATTTTGATTAGTTTAAAAGCGTTAGGGTAACACACCCTGCTTCAATCGGGGTCACCACAACACATTTATTTAGAGGGAAGACAGCATTTCATTAACAACACTTGGGACCTGAAGACTATGATGAAGATGGGCTGATTTCAGGAATCCAAATGTTAAATACCTTTAAGAAAGCAGTGTGATACCTCTCTCTAACAGGCACTGGCAGCTTATATTGACTTTTATAGCAATTCAGAGATGTAAATTCCTAACTCAGAAAACACAAATGGGCAAAATAAACCAAACCAAACTCTCCTAGTGGTTAGGATCAAAGTCTAAATATAGCTTATCACGTGCACCTGAAATGCTCCTTTATGCATACTTTAATATATCTGAGTGCCTGGCACACAAAAGTGTAGAACTGCAACTCTCTTACAATTTGCTTTTATAAGGAGGTATTATAGGCAAGTGTCTGCAAATCACAATGCCCATTTGACAGTTACTCAATAGCGATCTAAATAATTTGATTCAAGTTTTAAAAAACACTGAAGATCCAAAAAAAACTACCTCCTTAAGTTTTACACACTGTTTTAGTTTTTTTTTTTTTTTAATTACAGCTTGGATGATCTGCAACCAAAACCATATGCCTAAAAAAATCCTGAAACCTGAGAAAGTTCATTTGAACTTTAAAGGCAACTCACTGCTACAATGCAACACAGCTCACACAAGCACATATATCAAAACTACACATACACATAAAGTAATGAGCAAATACGCTGGACAGGCTG